TGGACACAAACTTCGCAAAGTAAAGCAGAGCAACCTCCTGGAAGGCACTAGAAGCTACCCAAGTGACCAAGTGGGAGGGGATACAGTCCTGGAGAAGGGGAGCCACCTCTAGAGCAGACTGTCCCTCAGGCCCTCTGCTCACTTGGGAAGCTAAGAATGCAAACATCCTGGACGAGAGGGATGCCACTTAAAGGCAGAGACCGGCCAGGCACAGTGGCTCACGCCTGTAATCCCAGCACTTTGGGAGGCTGAGGTGGGCGGATCACAAGGTCAGGAGATGGAGACACAGTGAAACCCTGTCTCTATTAAAAATACAAAAATTAGCCGGGTGTGGTGGCGTACACCTGTAGGCACAAAAGACAAGAATTTTTTTTTGAGACGGACTTTTGCTTTTGTCGCCCAGCCTGGGGTGCAGTGGCGCGATCTCAGCTCACTGTAACCTCCGCCTCCCAGGTTTAACTGATTCTCCTGCCTCAGCCTCCTGAATAGCTGGGATTACAGGCGCCCGCCACCACATCCAGCTGATTTTTGTGGGGGGTTTTTTTTTTTTTTTTTTTTTTTGTTTTTTTTTGAGACGGAGTTTCGCTCTCGTTACCCAGGCTGGAGTGCAATGGCGCGATCTCAGCTCACCGCAACCTCCGCCTCCTGGGTTCAGGCAATTCTCCTGCCTCAGCCTCCTGAGTAGCTGGGATTACAGGCACACGCCACCATGCCCAGCTAATTTTTAGTATTTTTAGTAGAGACGGGGTTTCACCATGTTGACCAGGATGGTCTCGATCTCTTGACCTCGTGATCCACCTGCCTCGGCCTCCCATAGTGCTGGGATTACAAGCTTGAGCCACCGTGCCCGGCCTGTATTTTTTTTAAGACGGGGTTTCACCATGTTGGTCAGGCTAGTCTTGAACTCCCGACCTCAAGTGATCCACCCACCTTGGCCTCCAAAGTGCTTGGATTACAGGCGTGAGCTACCACGCCCGACCTTTTTTTTGTATTTTTAGTAGAGACAGGATTTTGCCATGTCGGCCAGGCTGGTCTTGAACTCCTGACCTCAGCTGATCCACCTGCCTCGGCCTCCCAAAGTGCTGGGGTTACAGGCGAGAGCCACCCACCCGGCCACACTTACCTTCTTATCCACAGTGCCCTTATCATCTTAGCTGGATCCTCTATTTGCAGGTGTGCAATGCTCACTGAATTTCCCCATTCACGGCTTGGTTGTTAAAGCTCATCTTCCAGATGTTTCTACAAGGGACCTGAGGAGCCACCTTCCCTGCATTCTAGATGCATGAAAATGCTAGCCTGCAGCATTTACCATTTAAAACCAGTTAGACTGGCTATAAAATTCTTGGGTCCTACTTTCTCTGTCTGAGAACAGGGTAAACCCAGTTTAACAGTGAATGCTGCTACAGAAACTTCTGAGGTCACTCTTTGGGTGACATTATCTTTCTGCCCGGGTATCCAAAGAATTCTTTATTTGAAGTTCAGTTACTTTACTCAGATGATCATTCCACTTCTGTTTTTCTTGGGACATAATGTGCCTGTTCTTTTATGAAATTTACTTTTCCTTTTTATCTAAATTACATATGTACATTGTGTCAATTAGTCCTATAAGACTTATAATTAAGAGGCCAGTCATGGAGGCTCATGTTTGTATTCCTAGGACTTTGGGAGGCTGAGGCCAGGAGTTCGCGACCAGCCTGGGCAACACAGCAAGATCTCTGTCTCTGCAAAAAAATTTAAAAATCAGGCCGGGCATGGTGGCTTTTATGCCTGTAATCCCTGAAATTTGGGAGGTCGAGGCAGGGGAATCAGTTGAGGTAAGGAGTTTGAGACCACCCTGGCCAACATGATGAAACCCCATGTCTACTAAAAATACAAAAAATTAGCTGGGTGTGCGTCCATAGTCCCAGCTACTCAAGAGACTGAGGCAGAAGAATCACTTGAACCCAAGAGGCGAAGGTTGCAGTGAGCTGAGATTGCACCACTGCACTCCAGTCTGGGCAACAGAGTGGGACTCTGTCTAAAAAAAAAATAAGAATATGGCTGGGCACGGTGGCTCACGCCTGTAATCCCAGCACTTTGGGAGGTCGAGGCGGGCAGATCATGAGGTCAGGAGATCAAGACTATCCTGGCCATGGTGAAACCTCGTCTCTACTAAAATACAAAAAATTAGCCGGGCATGGCGACGCACGCCTGTAGTCCCAGCTACTCAGGAGGTTTCAGTGAGCTGAAATCGTGCCATTGCACTCCAGCCTGGTGAAAGAGAAAGACTCTGTCTAAAAAAAAAAAAAAAAAAGGCTGGGCACGGTGGCTCAAGCCTGTAATCCCAGCACTTTGGGAGGCCGAGGCGGGTGGATCACGAGGTCGAGAGATCGAGACCATCCTGGTCAACATGGTGAAACCCCATCTCTACTAAAAATACAAAAAAATTAGCTGGGCATGGTGGCACGTGCCTGTAATCCCAGCTACTCAGGAGGCTGAGGCAGGAGAATTGCCTGAACCCAGGAGGCGGAGGTTGCGGTGAGCTGAGATAGTGCCATTGCACTCCAGCCTGGGTAACAAGAGCGAAACTCCATCTCAAAAAAAAAAAAAAGAATACAAAAAGCTACTCAGGAGGCTGAGGCAGGAGAATCGCTTGAACCCAGGAGGCAGAGGTTGCAGTGAGCCAAGAGCACACCACTGCACTCCAGCCTGGGTGACAGAGCAAGAATCAGTTACACACACGCAAAATACCAGAAATATCAAAATACCAGAAATATCTCTTTTACTTTTTTTTTTTTTTTTTTTTTTTTTTTTTTTTTTTTTTGAGACGGAGTTTTGCTCTTGTTACCCAGGCTGGAGTGCAATGGCTCGAAAGTGATTCTTTTGAGAAATCTGGCTGACAGGTGGAGAGAGCTGCGGTTCCAGGGTGGAGGGAGGAGTCTGCTTTGCTTTTGTTTTCTTGTTCTTTTCTTGGGATGGGAGAGGCTCAAGCTTGCTCATGCGTAGGGCAGAAAGTGCTAGTAGCCATAAGGGTGCATCCATCAGAATTCTTCCTTCTACAAGGGCAGACGCTGGGTGTGTAATCCCCACACTTTGGGAGGCCAAGGTGGGCGGATCACCTGAGGTCCGGAGTTGGACACACGGCGAAGCCCTGTCTCTACTAAAAATATAAAAACTAGCTGGGTGTGGTGGTGCACACCTTTAGTCCCAGTTACTAGGGAGACTGAGGCTCGATAATCTCTTGAACCCTGGAGGCCGAGGTTACAGTGAGCCAAGATCGTGCTACTGCACTCCAGTCTGGGCGACAGAGCAAGACTCTTTCTCAGAAAAAAAAGTGAAAGAAAGAATCCAGTTCGTCTGGTTAAACCAAACCATGTAACAGGAAAGCCCAGGTCGGGGTGGAAGCAGGAAGATCACCAGATCAGGCCCAGCTGGACATGGCTCCACTGATGCCCCGACTCAGTTCTTCTGTGTGTGTAACCAGTCTGGCCAACATGGTGAAACCCCATCTCTACGAAAAATACAAAAATCAGCTGGGCATGGTGATGCGTGCCTGTAATCCCAGCTACTTGGGAGGCTGAGGCAGGAGAATCTCTTAAAAGCAGGAGATGGAGGTTGCAATGAGCCAAGATTGCGCCACTGCACTCCAGCCTGGGCGACAGAGTGAGTCTCCGTCTCAAAAAAAAAAAAAAAAAAAAAAGGCCGGGCGCGGTGGCTCAAGCCTGTAATCCCAGCACTTTGGGAGGCCGAGGCGGGTGGATCACGAGGTCAAGAGATCGAGACCATCCTGGTCAACGTGGTGAAACCCCGTCTCTACTAATGGTGCAAAAAATTAGCTGGGCGTGGTGGCGCGTGCCTGTAATCCCAGCTACTCAGGAGGCTGAGGCAGGAGAATTGCCTGAACCCAGGAGGCGGAGGTTGCGGTGAGCCGAGATCGCGCCATTGCACTCCAGCCTGGGTAACAAGAGCGAAACTCCTTCTCAAAAAAAAAAAAAAAAAAAAAAAAAGAGTATCACCAATGCAGAAAGGGTCCACATTCATTCATTCCTTTTTTTTTGAGATGGAGTCTGGCTCTTGTTACCAGGCTGGAATGCAGTGGCATGATCTAGGCTCACTGCAACCTCTGCCTCCTGGGTTCAAGTGAGCACGTCGGGCTAATTTTTGTATTTTTGTAGAGACCGGGTTTCAACGTGTTGGCCAGGCTGGTCTTGAACTCCTGACCCCAGGTGATCCGCTTGCCTGGGCCTCCGAAAGTGCTGGGATTGCAGGCGTGAGTGCTTGCCGCACCGGGAGAAGTGACTACAGCCTGTGATGGAAGTGACCCAGGGAGGGCGAAGAGGGCAGAGTTTCGGGGTCAGTGCTGGCTTGAAGGGTCGGGGTCTTGCGGAGGGGGTGGTCGTGGCTGGAAGCTGGACGGGTTGAGCCTGGTCCCACGAGGGACGGGAGTGCGGGCGCTGCCTCAGCAGGTGCGTGGGGGAGCTGGGGGGAGTTTCTAGGGATTTATTTCTTCAGTCGAAGCGTCTTTGTTGGGTACCCACTGAGCGCCAGGCTCTTTCTCAGGCCGGGATAGAGGCTCCTTTTCCTCAGTGGCTTGGGCACCGGGTCAGCCGCGGAGTGAGAAGACGGGCGAGGTGAGAGCGAGGAGGGAAAGGACGGGGCGGCGTTCGGGGAACAGCACATCCCTGGAAATCCGTCAACACTGGGGCGACGCCTTCGCTCGGTCCCGGCCGACCCGGGTCCCGGCGGGCGACACCGTCCCTTCCCCACCCGGGACATCGAGCTAACGACTCCCGGAACCTCCGTTTTCTCATTCGTGCGGTGCGGAAAACGGGCTTGTGACCCGCAGTGCCGGCCGCGGGGAGGCCGGGGACCTGTTGGCGCGCAGGCCGGGGACCGTCCGCACCGCCCGGGGAGCAGCGAGGGCGCGGGGACGGCAGGGGCGCGGGGAGCGGGGCGGGCGGGCGGGGCGGGGCGGTGCTGACCCCGCCCCGGTCCGGAGGGGCGGTGCTGCCTCCCGCCGGGCTCCGGGCCCTGCCCTCCGGCCGCCGCGCCCGGGCCCAGGCTGTCCATCGCCGGCCGCCGCGGGAGCCAGAGGTACGGGGCGGGGGGTGCCGCGCGAGGGTGCGGCGGGCGGGGGCTCCGGGCGGGGAGGGGGCGCGAGGGCCGAGGGGCTGGGCAGCGGCCCCCCCCCCCGGGCCACCTGTTCCGGAGGCGACATTTGTGCGCGCGCGATCCCCGTGCCGCGGTACCGGCCGCCGCCTCCACCCAACTGCGCCCCGAGGTGCAGCGCGGCGGCCGGACCCCGAGCCCCGGCCCTTGCGGGCGTTACGCGCCCGGCCCGGGATCCCTCGAGGGCAGCCGCGCCCGGCCGGGTCCCGGGGCTGGAGAGGGGGCGTCGGGGAGAAGCCGGGTCCCAGGCGGGCTCTGCCCCGCCACCTTGCACGAGTCGCGCTCCTCCATCCAGGGGACGCGCGGTCCCGCGGGAGGCCGGGGTGCCCGGCGGCGCTGGCCCCGGAGCGGATGCGGCTGGGGACGGGGGTGGGCAGCGGCCGGCTGGAGGGGGCTCTGCCTGGCGGGAGGCGTCGGCGCCGGCCTTAGGGAGGGCCAGGACTTGGACCTGCCCAGAAGCGGGAAGGGCCCTCCCGGTGCGGAAAACGGCCTCGGAACGAGCCGGGCGCGGGGCGAGCCGGTGGGAGTCGCCCGGCCTCCGCAGGCGCCCCTCCCTCCTGTCAGCTGGGAAAGGTTGAAGGCTGAGCGAGAGCGCAGCTGGGCTTGGGAGCGGCCGTGCGGGGGCACCTGGTCCCGGCGTGCAGACCGCCTCCCTGCCGGGGCGAGTCCCCTTCCCTCGGTTTCATCATCTGTCATCTGGGGGGACGAGTTCCCTCCTCCTGGGTAGTCTCGGCTGAGCCTCTGGCCTTGAGAGGGTTAAAGCGCCGGCTCCGTCTCCCCTGCACCCACCCCGCTTTCCGTCGACACCCTCTTGCGGCTTCCTCCCTTCCCCGGCGCTGAGCGGTTGACTGTTCCGCGAAGGCCCCTTGGGGTCACCTACCCTGCATTCAGCGAATAACCCGAGCACCTCGTGTCTCAGGCCAGGTCTGGCGTTCCACTACGAGCTGCCCAAGGACTTCTCCTTTGTCGCCTCCTCCCAAAGAATGGGAGAGCCACCCTTCCCAGGGTCCCATAGCAGACGGGTGGGCCAGGCCTCCCTGAAAACTCGCCACAGCTCTCGCCAGCCCCAGACCTTCTCCAGGACCCGAAACCCGGCCACCCTGGGTTTCCACAGCTGAAATCCCCAAAAAGAGGGCCCCCAAATCAAAGGAAAACAAAATATAAACGGAAAGAAAGGGCAAGGAGGGATGGAATCCTCTCTGTCATTAGTTTTTTGTTTGTTTTTTAGGGTCTTGCCCTGTCACCCAGGCTGGAGTGCAGTGGTGCAATCTTAGCCCACTACAGAGCAAACTGCTGGGCTCAAGCGATGCTCCCACCCCAGCTTCCCAAGTGGCTGGTTCTGCAGGCACACTCCACTACATCCAATTTTGTTATTAGTTTTGCTTTCAAACATTCTTCTAATGCTTTGGGTGCCTGTCATTGCTTGTCTGCTGGGACAGCTCAGTCTTAGAGGATAAACTTTGACATGGACAGCCATCTAAAAAATATGTTTTGTTTCCTTGTGCTAATTGAAGCCCTCTAGCTGCCTAGGGTAATGTGTCCGTTAATTTCCAGTACCTGTGATGGGCCCTGGGACTCCAGTGTGGGGCAGGGCTGGGAAAACCTCTGCAGGTGGCTTGTGTGGAATACCAGGAGTTTGTGACCTACCACATCTGCCCCAGCGAGCGACAGCCAAGCCCACCTGGCCGTGTGCCAATGGATTCAGACCTCCAAGGATGCAGTCCATCTGGGATGCAGGTCCCAGAAGGTGGTGGCAGGTGATAGCTCCGCCACCAGGCCGGCCATCTGAGTTCTGGGGTGTACCTCCTCCCACTCTCCCCAGCTGCCGGCTTCTTTGGGGACCTCCTGGGTGTGTGTGCTCACAAACTGCTGTTGATCACCCTGCATTTTCTTTTTTCTTTTTTTTGAGACAGAGTCTGACTCTGTTGCCCAGGCTGTGGAGCATTGGCACAGTCTCGGCTTCTGCAACCTTTGCCTTCCAGGTTCAAGCAATCCTCCTGCCTCAGCCCTGCTAGTAGCTGGGATTACAGGCACATATCAGCATGCCCAGCTAATTTTTGTATTTTTTTTTTTTTAAGATGGGGTTTCACCATGATGGCCAGGCTGGTCTTGAACTCCTGACCTCAGGTGATCCACCCACCTCGGCCTCCCAAAGTGCTAGGATTATAGGCATGAGCCACCGCGCCTGGCCAAGTTTTGTATTTTTAGTAGAGATGGGGTTTTGCCATGTTGGCCAGGCTGGTCTCGAACTCCTGACCTCAGGTGATCCACCTGCCTCGGCCTCCCAAAGTGCTGGGATGACAGGCCTGAGCCACCGTGCCCGGCTACCCTGCATTTCGTTGGCTCACTGCACCCTTCCCTTCAGATTGGAAGCTCCTGGAGGGAAGGAGTCTTGTCCAGATCCCAACACCCAGTGCCAGGCCTGGCACCTAGCAGGTGCTTCCTGAATGCTGTTTGAATGAACTAGCTGAAAGAAGTAGGAAAAATCATTCCTGTTTGCATACTTGTAGATAACTATTGTTAACATTTGCCTTTTTTTCCAGACATTTTAAAAACATGTTTTTATAGCGGGGAGAGGTGGCTCACGTGCGTAATCCCAGCACTTTGGGAGGCTGAGGTGGGTAGATCACTTGAAGTCAGGAGTTTGAGACCTGCCTAGCCAATATGGTAAAATCTTGTCACCCCTAAAAATACAAAAAATTATCGGGTGTGGTGGCAGGTGCCTGAAATCCCAGCTATTGGGGAGGCTGAGGCAGGATAATTGCTTGAATCTAGGAGGCGGAGGTTGCAGTGAGCAGCTGAGATGGTGCCTCTGCACTCCAGCCTGGGTGACAGAGCAAGACTCCATCTCCAAAATAAATAAAAAATAAAACTTAATAAAATAAAAACGTGTTTTTCCATATTTGAATATGTTGTCTATATACAATATTTTTCCTTTAGTATAATTTCATGAGCATTCCTTATCTTTCAAACATTTTTTATACTTTTCAATGCTTGCATTTTGCTACATCATGCTGAGTTCTTGGATCTCTTTTTACTTTAAAAAACTATATTTGGCTCTTTTAGATAATGTTACATCAAATTTATACAGCCGGGCGCGGTGGCTCAAGCCTGTAATCCCAGCACTTTGGGAGGCCAAGGCGGGTGGATCACGAGGTCGAGAGATTGAGATCATCCTGGTCAACATGGTGAAACCCCGTCTCTACTAAAAGTGCAAAAAATGAGCTGGGCTTGGTGGCGCGTGCCTGTAATCCCAGCTACTCAGGAGGCTGAGGCAGGAGAATTGCCTGAACCCAGGAGGCGGAGGTTGCGGTGAGCCGAGATCGTGCCATTGCACTCCAGCCTGGGTAACAAGAGGGAAACTCCGTCTCAAAAAAAAAAAAAAAAAAAAAAAAAAAAATTTATACATACATTTGTACACTGCCAGTTATTTCCTGGGAAGTAATTAACCTGGTCATCAGTGCATAGGAACTTTTAGAATGGCTGTATGTTTGTACACCCAGCTAGATTTTTCTTGGTATTTCCTAGAAATGAAATTCCTGGATCAGAGTATGAGCATGCAGGCACTGTGTATGTTGCTTATTGATTGGTTTGAGCTCATCAGTAAGGTTTTGACCCTTGTCTGGTCTCTGTGTGACAAAGATCGTTCCCCAGTTTATTATATGGCTCTCATTTGTGGGTGTGTGTGTGTGCGTGGGTGCGTATGGGGGTGTGTATGTAAGTGAGAGAGAGAGAGAGAGAGAGAAAGAGAGAGGAGCAGCAATTTTAAAATTTTACTTTATGTGTGTGCTTTCTGATAAGGGAGAGTTGGCTGCATTTATGAGCTGATAGGAAGGCCAGAAGAGAGCTCAGCTCGCTCAGGTCCAGGAGAAGGAGGGATAGGTTCGTAGGCTGAAGTCCCTGAGGGCTGAGGAGGTGGGAGGATGCGCTGCTGCTCCCGAGGGACCTTCTGAGCTGGTGAGGACAGGAGGCAAGAGGGAGGGGCTGGGGGGGGCACTTGGTGAATTGGCTCTGATCCTCCCCAGAGGGAGCTGGAAAGTCAGCAGAGGGGAGGGCTGCAGCCCCTTGGTGCTTCCTCCCTGGGAAGGAGCAAGTATGAACACTCCCACTGATGGATGATACCAGGAGGGGAGAGCCTGGCTCGGGGCCAGTCCAGGCAGGGCCGGTTCAAAGCAGGCTGTCCACATACCTACCACACGCCCTTGGCGACTGCTCTTCTCTCCGAAGCTCCGTGTCAGAGTTGTCAGGAAGTGGCACTTCGTTGAGTAAGTGTCCTGTCCTCTCCCCTCTGGACAGATCCTGGGGGTGCAGGCGCTTCCAGCTGCACAGAGTTGGCCACAGGACTGGGGAATCCCCTTCCTTTCCAGGCAGGTGTCCACATACCCTCCCCTGTGCCCACACTCTCGCCCACCACAAACCTGCTCCAGCAGGAGCACCACAACCTTCTGGGGTCGTGCCCGTGCAGAGTGTGAGCCGGCAGGCGGGAGCCGGATGGGCGGCACATGAGGGCAAAACAGGAAGAGTGTCTCTCTTCACCTCCGCTGTTCGAAAGTCATTGTCCCGGGACCCAGAGAGCCCCCACCGTCTGTGGCCGTCGCTGGCTCCTTTCCCTTGAGTTGGGGGTGGGCCTCTATCCACTGAGCCCACATGAGGTGCCAGACACTGTTACCTGACCTTACCAGACCCTCTCACTGCCATGTTCTCTTAGTCCTTTTTTTTTTTTTTTTTTTGAGATGAGTTTCACTCTCGTTGTCCAGGCAGCAGTGCAGTGGTGCGACCTCGGCTCACTGAAACCTCCGCCTCCCAGGTTTAAGCGATTCTCCTGCTTCAGCCTCCTGAGTAGCTGGGACTACAGGCATGCGCCACCATGCCTGGCTAATTTTTTGTATTTTTAGTAAAGATAGGGTTTCTCCATGTTGGCCAGG